GTGACGATGGTTGGTAAGGAGCCAAACAAATAGAAGTGCTGAGCCGGAAACGAATTGTGTGAATCATCCATGTAGGTAGTATAGGTGTCTAAATCTCAATATATTATATATATATATATATATATATATATATATATATATATATACGTGCATGCATGCATTTGCTTTCTTATATGTCCTGCTAACGAATCGTGGAGACCCTATAAAGACTTCCATTGCTTTGCCTTAACACAAATGAGTGAAAAGTGCGTCTACAAATACCTCGAATGCTGTTTTCTAAAGAACTTTCACGTCCCCTTTACCCACTCCACGACTCTTATTTTCCTCCATTTTCAGTACTTATTTTCATAGACATAGCGCGAGAAGTTATGTCTTGTATAACACATATCCGCGTGTAGCGCAGTGGTTCGGCATTCCCTGCGATACGAACCGGATCAATCGCTGCTTCGATCATGCGCTCATGTATCGTCAAGTCTTCTATTTCTGCGTTGTGAGGAAATTGATAACAGACTTGCCTGAGTGTCTAGAAAAAACACTGCCTTATTGCATCGCTAGGAAACCGTAAGTTATTGTACAGTCCAATTTCAATCACTTTTTATGTTGTTGAGCTTACACGTGGTTGGTATGAGGTGTTTATTCGGCTAACGTTTCGACGTCTTCGTCTTCTTCAGAGCCGACGACTCTTCTCGATGGTCAATAGTTGTTCCTTTTCTCGGCGTAGGGTCTTCGTCGCGCATCGAGCCGTGTCATCCTCACCGGAGCATCTCGAATGAATCATACTCACTCTCCGACGCTTTTTTATACAGGGTGGTTGTTGTTGGTATGATTATCCGTTGAAAATAATTAATCATATCAACGAGTAATCTTATCAAGAAAAACCGCCCTTTATAAAAGAGCGTTGCCAGGTAAGTATGGCTCATTCGAGATGCTCAGCTGAGGAAGGACCGGTTCGATGCAAGACGAAGACGCCACATCGAAAAGAGTAACAACTGTGGACCATCGACAGGGATCGTCCGCTCTGATGGAGGCGAAGATGTCGAAACGTTAGCCGAATAAACACCTCATATCAACGTCGTGTAAGCTGAACAATATAAACACATGGTGATTATTATAGTACCGACGTTAAATGACTGTCGGTTTTAAAATTATTGTTTTGCTATTCAATCAATTCAATCACCTCTTACGACGCTTGATGAAGTTGAATGCACGTCGTATTCTGCAAAATTGATAAACGGTAAGAGTTTTATCCCTTCATTCTTTTATTACATACATCTCCAGGTCACCATATGAGAAACATGTTTTCGGCCCCAAGTGTTGACACGTGACGTTCTCCGATGACAGACGATGGTTTAAGCATGGACATAAGCGTGAATATTCTATGAAGCATCGGCGAAATCAAGTTCCTCCATGCCTGAGCTAACTCATCAACGTTTCGTGTGCAAGTAATCATATATTCATGAGAGCATTCTTTTGTTCCCCCTTGTGTGTGTGTGCGTGTGTGTGTGTGTGTGTGTGTGTGTGTGTGTGTGTGTGTGTGTGTGTGTGTGCGTGTGGTGTGTATGGTGTGCGAAGCCCTTACAGCATTTAGGAGAAAATTCCGCGATTAATAACGAAGAAAATATTCTGCACAACTCCAGTTTCGTTGCAATGTGAATGATATGGAAGACAATCGATGTAACCATGATGCCCGTGATCTATCAAGCTCTCAGTATTCAACAGTAAACCAATTTGAGTTGTGTGGAAGGGTACAGGGATAGAATAGCTTAGTTTATAAAACTAATTCTCATCCAGTTGCTGGATCCCATCCGAGCCCATCTCACGAATTCCTAGATATTCCTGGATAGTATACGTAATCCGCTTGCTAACAGCGCATAGCCATGAAGCTCTTGACGTCATCCCGATTTATACAAACGTGTACAATGGATACTTTGTGCAATCCATTTCCGAGCTTCTTACAAAACACGAATAAATAAAGATGTAGGGTTTCTGTATTCATCAACTCGTGGTCCTCATAAAAGAGTGACAAAACGTCCAATTTTTAGATGGCCTGTGAAGTATTATAGTTGGCACAATGAGAGTGTTGGCAATGGGACAGCGAATGGCAGCAAGTCTTCCCACTGTATTTATATCTAAGGTAGAAGCACCAGTAATAGATCTTCGGCTATTGCTCTACTGTAGATATACGAATAATTACTTTGTCATCTGCACCACACTAGTAGACCACCGGGCGCTCGTACAAAAGAACACCTACGCGGCAAATTTAAAGTGAAACCAAATACTCCACTAGGCGCACATGGGACGCAAAGCGAGAACGGAGAAGATTTTCAGGTAAAAGTCAGTATCCTCGCATAGGTATCCAAAATATCGACACGTAAAACTCTTGAATCGTTTTGGATAAACTCCAGAAATCCAAAGATGAAAAGCAATGAGGAGTGCCCTGTGATCACGCGTAATTCTGCGGGTGACCTCCAACAATAGCTGGAAGACCTAAGAACAACAAAACGGTGAGTGCTTAAAAGAAGCTGTGGGCCAATGAAAACTTACGTAATAAGTTTTATCGATGGCGTTATGAAAGTGTTCGCCTGGGTAGACTGCACACCAGTTTGCTCCTTCTACAATCGCAAGAAGACGAAGCCACAAAAATATTAGCTATTATGAGTGAATAAATGCTGTAATGACAATCTCTGGCTTGCCTATCAAAAAAACAAGGAGAATGCGAGTCGTCATAAAACGAGATCTTCTGAATTTGACGCCTCATACATTTCAGTGGGGAATTGCTGTCATATAAGCTATTGAGCATCGCAATTCGCGACTCAGTTATTTTGATATTAGTGAACACGATTATTTACATATTGACGTTGATCTATGACAATCATGGTGTTTCGTAAGCAGAGTCAATCAACCAGTCAACAATAGCTTGCGAATGTGACAAGTTCAGTCGTCACGTGTCACCCTACTCCGCCGATTGTTTCTTTGATCAAAGAGATAACATGTGCCACAGACAAAAACAGAGCTACTGTGAAGTGTCGTGAGGCACTTCGCAACACGAGGGAACAGGGACTGCCAGACGTCATGTCTTTCAGACAGACAGTAGTAAAACATTCAGCCTTTACTGGTGAAATTTCCGGAGAAACGGTATGGTGATGATACCGTGATAACGAAGGCTATCCTACTATAATTCCCAGGAACGACTTCCTTTTAACCTCCGCTGATGAAGAACTAGCTGTATTCTTGATGAGCACCACAATTGTTATCATGTATTATTAATTGGCAACAATTGACGTAAACGGATTTTGTTTTATTCAGAACTTAGAAAGGTCAATTTAACCGCAATCTAATCAACCTAACATCACCATTATCTAAACAAAAGAACAACGACACCTGTTTTCAATCTCATTAGATGTGAAACTGTTTTTTCACACACTTAGCCTACTCTATGAGCGCGTATTCAACGTGGAGACCAACCGTGCAGAGCTATATTGAACGGTAATGAGTCATTCATACAATTTCTTCAATGTTGAATGAAATTCCGCGTGATAGGGAGTCATTCTCCTTGAGGTTCATTTTCGATCCTTGGAATTTTTTCAGAATGCTTCGGCGACTTTACGAGCTGAAGCTTTAGATTGCTGTGCGAGGATGGTGACCTCCACTTTAAAATCTTCTCCGCTATGCGACTATTTCCTGTACACTCCTAGTGGAGAATTTTGTCTAGCACTACTCTGCCCGTCTAGGTATTCTTCTTGAATAGACACATGGTCATAGTGGTTTACCTATTTCCCCCAATATATTCTTTCCAACATGCTTTAAAAAGGTGAACGTACACCGTACGCAAACTCATGATATCGTCAATGGAGTTGAAGCACTTAGTATTACGCAATTTTTCGTTGTGCAAGACGGTCACACATGCGCTTCGCACTAGCTAGAGTCTCTCAGTGACCGGTGGTAATTCAATCACTGTTAACGATTTCCTTAGACCCGCTCTTTTTAGGCAATGTTTTATAGCTGTGCTTATTTAGCTTATCAGACTGCTATACAAGACTTTTGTGCTAATATAAAATAATACGATATTAACTTTTTATTTACTGTCTATTATTTCCTCATGGCAGGGCATTATGCGTAATACAACCACAATGATGATGGGATGTCTGCAAAACTCTGGACCCTAGGTGTCTCTGGTGAGAAACGAACGCGCTATTACCCTTTCCGGAGGCTAACGCGTTCACCACTACACCATGCGGGTCCCCTACACGTTAATGGGCGATTCCTGATGGCACTGATCGATAGAACTACCAGAACTAGCTGAGAGACAGGCGAAGCGAAGGATACGCATCCTGTGGTAGTGAACGAGTTAGCCCACAGAAGGGGTAATAGCGCGTTCGTTCCCAACCGCATACACTTGCAGTCTGGAGTTTTACAAATATCTCAGCACCATTGTGCTTTTATCATATATATGATCATATGATTCTCGCAGAGTTCTCAGTTGCGGAAAAAAATGTCAGCTAATGCAGCTTCTCACTATGACGGCCACACATGAAATGCTTTCCCATTGTTTCCATAACAATTACTTTACATCTCAGTTACCTCTATTCACCAAGAACCTCCTCTTCTGCAGCAAAACACCTACTGATTAGTTACTGTTTAAACCTGTCCTTGTTCTTGAATTTTGAAGGTAGCTCCATTGGGTTCTCAACTACACAAGCGATCTCTGATCTTGGCCGAAGTAAAGAGATTTGTCTTCTTGTGACTAAGCTTCTTTGAAAGCGGCGGTAATTCTTATTGTTGCTTTGCCACTGACTGAGATCCGTATGGGCGACTGTTTCGTACTACAAAAACCTATGATATCACAGTTCCATACCCCAGAACACTTGTCAGTCACTATGAGACGACGATAAACCAATTGGTTTCAAGGAGTGAAAAATTTTATCCATAACCAACAATAAAATAGTGTGGGGAAAATATGTACAGTATGTGTAGACCACTAGAAATGTAATGGTCGGCAGTTAAACTTCGTTCTCATTCAGATATATACCCCAGTAGGCGAAATTGAACATAATAAAGGCGATTGGAAATATAATCCTGAAAGTAGAACCTAGTACTTCATGTGAACATCTCTCAAGAACACTCACCTGGCAATGATATCTATTCTTTCTGCACGACCTCTGGAAGATAAGACACTGCACCATCTGACAAGTTCAACTCTTTTCCTTTGTCCAATATACACCAGATCAGTAGTGTCCTGAAAAGAAAGCAAGCGAACTGCCAATGAGACTAAATTATTTAACAAGAACTCAGCTTAAACTCATTTAAAATTCTCTAGCAGCACCTATCGGTAATGGGATCCGAAAAAGATATTCCATTTGTTGTTTAAATCTAAGATAATTTCTAAAGACAGGAACTCCTTGAAACCTGAAACGTCCACCCTTGTTCAACATGCGCTGCTGTTCTCGGTGGAATGAGTTCTCCAAGTTCGATCCCATCGAACTCCACCCCTGATTCCTCCTCGCGAAGCACGAGAGACCTGTTTCTCTTTCGCCGTAAAAGGTGCTGTAAAAGTCTACTGTATTAAAAGCACCAAAGTGTTATTGATTCAAAGTCACATTAGTAAATCACTCGTTTCCACTTCGATTCTGTGATAATCATAGTTAAGTAGTATATCTCTCCAATATGGATCACTTCCAGATTTATTTTTAACGATTTTAAAACTACTCAGACTAATGGCGGTGAAAATAAGTGGTTGTTGATCTTGACCTACACGTTCTCTCAATGATATTTACGAGAAGGTGAATCACGTACGATTCACAAGTTATCGGGAAAGTGCGAGGTGAGTCACACGTGTATTATTTTCATTCCAACCGTTTATACCGCATAGAGCGTTCTTACTGCATTCTTTGCAATCAACATAGATGTTGTGGTGGACAGAGGTCGAGAAATACTCTCTTCTGGAGTTTGAAAAATGCGAAAAAATGTACAAGAAGGTTCTTCTCGAACTGGCACTTCAGTCGATTGACTAGTAATTGATCAGCAGTCGACCGTTATTTGAATTTCAACTGCTATGATGAATTAGTTATCGTGTAGAATGCGTGCGTGTAAAAACCACGGACAGACTGAACGAAAGCTACAGAAAACTTCAATGATACTGAGATATTTGCAAAACTCTGGACCGCAGGTGTCTGTGACGGGGAACGATTGCTATTGTCCTTTCCGGAGAGTAACGCGTTCACCACCACCATTGCTGATGGCAAAAGATCGATAGAACTAGCTGAGAGACAGGCGAAACGAAGGACCCGCATGGTGTAGTGGTGAACGCGTTACTCCCCGGAAAAAACAATAGCGTGTTCGTTTCCCACCGCAGACACCTGTGGTTCGGAGTTTTGCAAATATCTCAGCATCACTGAAGTTATGTTTCGCAATACATCTTGTCCTTAAAAAGAGTAGGCAGTGAAATAAAAATGGCTACAGAACACTTCCAAATGTTAACAGTAGCAGATTTGTATGACGAACCATAGTAATACACAGTAATTAACAGTGTACGTGTCATGCGACATAGAAAGATCTTTTCGAAAATCACATCGCGCTCTTAATCCCTTATATTTTCCAGGTATCAAAAAATTGCCGTCTGATGTCGAAAAGCCAGCAAGTCCATAACGACATGAAATTAGGCATCGTCCCATTTGCCGGCCAAAGAAAATTGGGTATCAGCACCACTTAGGAGGAAACGAAAATTACACGAAATAAAGTTAGTTCTCAAGAAAATCGCCAATACAATACATGTTAACGAGTCACAAGCTCTAAAGGCTTGAACATTGGTGTTAAACCATATCAGAGTTTAAATTTCACCAACACTTCGAGCCCACGTGCAGATAGGCTAGTGAAGTAAACTCACCGGGAATTGAATTTCTTTCCACGACAATTGTGGAAAAAACCACAAATGGAAATCCACATATTAGTGTCAGATTGTCCATTGTTTACCCTAGCCTGTTCAGAAAATAATGAGAACACAATGAAAAGGCGTCTGGAGATGTCGATTACAACTTCATCGCGTGAAAGGAAGTCCACATTATGATGAAAAGTCGCAAGTAATGTTTAACCTTTACTTATTGCTTATTCCGTTTCCATAGTAGGGTACTATGTGGAATACAACCACCAATAATGCTGAGATAAGAGCAGAACTCGGAGCTTTACTTGAACCTCGAACCAGCCATTACCCTTCTTCGAAATCAGAGCTCGTATTGCTGTTGGCCACAACAACTGAAGCCCTTGCTTTGCCATTCGCTAGTTTGTTACTCCTATTGCTCCTCACTGCCACTGTTTATTTAACTGTTTCTCACTTGTTTTTCTACTCTTTTACCCTTACTCCTAATCTTTCACTATTTACGTCCACTCTACTCATATTTTTCCCTCCCTACTCTTTTCAGCTCCATTATTTCACATTCGTTTCCAGACAGCGCGGAAAGAGCAGTACTGGAAATGTCATTCAATTAATTAGTTATATTAGATTTGGCATATGTGGCATATGTGCTGGAGCTCACACAACTCGTTAAGACGGACCCTCCAAGTATCCAAGTATATTAGATTTTAAAAAATCGCCCATTATCTGACCTCGGCACAAATAATCAGCATTGTCGTAGATTACTAAGCTAAGACGAGGTTGCTAAAAAGTTTCATTCGTCTAACGTTTCCACGCCTTCACCTTCTTCAGAGCCGTGGTGATTAAACTCGATTGTCCACAGCCATTTATTCTTTTGATGCTAGGGTTCGTAGTCGCATCGAGTTGAATCTTCCAGAGTGAAGCATCGCTCGAACGCGGTGTTCCATGCTCAGTGGGACCCTTTTATATAGCATGGTTATAGATCTATTGCCATCCATTTTGATCCGTTTTCAACAGACAATCGACCCCGAACAATGCGGCTCTAGAGAGGGCAAAGGCGCTAAGGCGTTAATCGAAGAAAACTCTCTACCAACCGCATGTTAGCCTGATAATCTAAGAAAAATAATAATAACGATAATGATAATAGCAATAATAATGGTGATAATAACAGTAACAATAATAATAATAGTAATAGACAACATTGTTGCGCTTCTATTTACTGCCTATTGTTTTTTCTCATGGGAGAGTATTATGTGAATACAATAACAAGGATGCTGAAATATGGGCAGAACCAGGAATCTTAGTTGGGCTTCGAACCTGCGACTAGCCTGCTTCGAAATCCCATCCAGCCAACCAACCTTTCCAGCTAAGCAGGGTCTGAAAATTAGTACCAGCCTAGACTGTTAAATACTTCCAGCAAAACGCAAAGACTGGGAACGATTCCAAAGGAAAAGACATGTGAAAGTCCTAGCACGACTAACCAGCAGGACATGGAAATCAGAATGAATCCAATCCTCCAAAGTTCAATGATATTCATGGAGAAGACCAATATGCTTAATCAGGACTCGAATCCACACACAAAGCCGAAGACGTTCATGAATGACGGATGGGAGAAAATCAATTAAGTGGAAGAAGTGCTGCCATCCGAACGACATAGTGTGTAATATCGCATCGTCTAAAAAAAAGCTTAGCACCCACACTTTATATCAAAGGTGTGGACAAATCGTATCGGGATTATGAGGTACGAATCGATTGACAACTACATCTGTGTGGGATTAGAAACGAAAAAAGAAAAAAAAATCCCTACCGTAGTTACCGCATTACTGCGAAAACAAAAACTTTCATGATCCCAAACACCGACTTTTCATTTGAAAAAGACCTCATCGGTACAAGCTGTTCTTGTTAAAGGATCATGCTATCTAATAAGGAAATCATGAACTTTATCATCGAATGGACAGCTCTTACAGACACTATCGATAGCTCTTCGGTTTTGATGTCAACGCTTTCTATACACTGTTAATGACAAAAAAAACAGGTCTGAGAATAAAGTGAAAAAAAGCTCATAAAGAAAAATTTTTAGGTGAATTACTGTTGATGTGAATGAAGGCATACGAAGAAAATAACCTTAGTCTCTTGCGGGCTGAAGCCTCCGACATAATTTGGTGTAATCATCTGTTCGGCGGATTGCATGTAGATCTGAGTGTCCATTACATTTGATAGTCGGCTCCGATTACATGCCGCCTTGTGCATTTGCCTAAGAAAAATCAGTGTTTTAAAAATTCGAATTGCTGACTTTCAAGTAGCATCAAAACTAATAATAAAGTTATTTTACAACGCAGTCACCTTTAATTTAGGTCTAATCTTTTTTCATGACAGGATGTGATGTGAAATATAACCACAACGATGCTGAGATATTTGGAAAGCCCCGAACCGCAGGCGCCTATAGTGAAGATCGAACCTGCTATTACCGCTTCTGGGGCTGACGTGTTCACCACCACACCATGCCAGTCCTTCGTTTCGTCTTTCTCTCAGCCGTATTATTGACCTATAGGTGCTATCAGAAATCGCTCAATGCGTATGAGACAAGGACGAAACGAAGGATTCGCATGGTTTAGTGGTCAACGCGTTACTCACCGGAAAAGGTAATAACGTGTTCGGTCCCCACGCAGACACCAGCGCTCAGAAGTTTTGTAAACATCTCAGCATCATTAAGGTTATTTTAGTTATAATAACTATCTCTTATGAGGATTACGACATGGTGTTGTAACCACGTATTCTTGACTGTTGACGTTAGCTTCGTCTTTTTGAGAGCTTAGACGAAAAGAAAAATGAGGAGAGCTTTTTGGTAGATTACGATATGGTTTGCGAGCGTGTAGCACAGTGCTTAGCGGCGTCCTGCAATAGATATGGGATCGATCACGCGCCTCAACCTCACCAAACCTTTCGTCCATCCGGCGTCAGCAAATTGTTACCAGATTTGTCTGGGAGAATAGCAGCAATGATTGAAAACATCGGTAGGCCATCGCGAGTCACTGGATAAGCCAGATATGCACTCTGTAACGTCTAACGATCCTAATGTAAATGTTTAACGTTTTTGTTTTCTGCCTTCTATAATTTTCATGGCAGGTTACTAAGCGAAATACAACCACAACGTTGCTG